CCAAGGCTGAGGGAGGGTCCAGGAGTACAAAGGAAGAAATGAAAGAGGTGGCAGTCCTGCCAGAAGTGAGCCCCTCGACCTCTAACAGCAGTTTTTATACCTGGTTAGTGACTATTCCAAACTCCACAAACACCATTGTATGTTTCAGGGGGAAACAGACCTGGACTCTGCCCCAAGGTTCCCAAAGATACGGGTGGGGCTTGTGCTGAAATGTGCTCAGGAGATTACTCATGTCCCAAGGGAATGAAATGCTGCAGCAATGGATGTGGCCATGATTGCCGACCTGCTATCCATGTGGTGAGTATAAATCAGTCAAGAGCTGACAAGGGTGTTAACAACTCCCCAGTGGACTTTCCTGGGGCCGATGGATGTTCACATGTCCACTGCACACAGAAGTCTGGGTAACTCTGAGAGAAAGAGGCTGGAAGTGAATGGCAGAAGGACACCTGGCTGCATTATCTAAGACCCTCTCCTCAAAGAGAAGCCCTATCCCTGTCTCTGTCCCCGAGGAGTTTCTCAGTTGAGACAAGTAACCATGATCCTCGATTCACAGGTCATTACTGACCCAGGGTTTGTCACCCTCCTCCCCTTCCCCACCAAGGGGGCTTCACTCTTCCTAGAAAATGGGTGATCCTGGGAGGCAGAGGGAAAGCAAAGAGAACCTCAATTATGGAGTATCTCCTGTGTCAGTCAGGCATTGTGCTGAAGATGAGATAAAAAGGAAACACAACTAGTTCATGGAGACAGAACTATGTAAACAATTACAATCCACGGTGACCACAGCTTTGCACAAATTTCTACTAAGGTCTGTGGAGGCCCCTGGAAGAATTATTGGTTTTGCCTGGGTGGGTGGATCAGTGGAGGTTGGGAAGTATTTCCGAGAGTAGAGAACATTTAAGGAAGAGCTTCAAGTAGGCATACAGTTTTCCACAGTAAGGAAGGACAGTACAGATGATGGGGAAATGTGGGTCCTACGCTGGAGATGGGAAAGTGATTGAGATTGTGGTCAGTAGAATTTGCAACATCTCAGTAGAGGATCATCCAAGCCAGGGTCCAGAAAGGAATGAGCTGCCTTGCCAAAGAGTTTGGTAGACTGCTGGAGGTTTCTGAGCAGAGGAAATGTCATAATCAAATTTGTATTTTAAAAGGGTGGTGTTTATGACCCTGTGGAATAAGAATGGGGGTGTAAGCCTGCCTGGAGACGAGCCCCAGAAGATTGCTCATGAATCATGGATCCAGTGCTTGGCATAACATTTTCCACACACCATTCCTGGCAAGTGTCTATCCCTTGACGTGCAGTCTCAGAAGATGAAGACCTAAAGTGCTGGAGTGGCCGATTCTGAAGAGCTTGTGTCCAAAATAAATTTTATCTGTGGCATTATTGAGACTGTGTCACTCTTCCCATTTAGACATTCTTTCTAGTGGACCCTCTGTGGATGAACAGAACGGACTGTGTGCCCTGTACTGAGCCCATGAAGACAAGGCACTCAGGATAGATCAGAGGCAAGGTCTGCCAGCTAGTTTCTTTCCTCCTTCCATGTCCATGTATCTAAACAGGGCAAAGGGCATGATAATATTTTCTCCAGCATTCTGGGAATATGATTTTGGTGAAGAAAAACATGACCTTCTAGCACATAACAGGCCTGTAGTAGGAGCCTTTAATAGGGCAAGACTCAGAAGGAGTAGGAGCAGAAAAAAATTTGGAGATACCCTATTCTAGGGAATGCACCGACGTGTAGCAGGACTGGATGCCTAACTCTATGAGAGCAACCCTGGCCCTTGCGATGTGGGGCTTTGAGTGGTGTGGGCTGGGAAGCACCAGCTGCCTCCATGGAGTGACTAGGAGTTAGGATAAGTTGGGACATAGGCTCTGTGGGTGGAGTCTTTGATTCAGAGTTTTCCTGAGGCAGAGGATAAGCCTGGGTCTCACAAAGAAGCCCTGACAAAAGCGATGGTCTGAGCTGATCCTACAAGCTCCATCTCCCAGCGCTCTCTGTTCACTCTTCCACCTCGATTGCCCCACGTAGCCTCTGCCATGGTCTGCCCTGCTTGCTTATGCCTGCCGTCTACACATCTTATAACCTCGGCAGCCCATGGCCTCACCAGCCTGTGCATTGGAATGAGGGCATATTAGCTTTGGTACCTTCTTTTACTGGCGGGTCATCCACACCCCAAATCCCACCCTGCTTCTGTCTCTCTTGGTCATTACTGGGGGCTCATGAGCACACCCATAACATGTTCTCAAACAATTTCACCTACTATCTGCCATTCTGAATGCCAAGGTATGACCTTCCCCTGCAAAGACACTTGAGGATGGCATCCTACAACGTCCACTTAGGTTTCTGCCCTTTAGTTAGTCCTGAAGTCTATACAGGTTCTGTAGGCATGCAGACTTGTCAGACTCTGTGGTCACCCAGAGTTTGGAGACATATGTTAGGGGGGGATAATTAACACTCACCATGCACAGGCACTTTCACAGGTAGTATCTCACTTTACACTCACCACAGCTCTATAATATCATCTCAGTAGCAGAATTCTTTGTAAATTTTACAGATGAAGAGACAGAGGGTCCAGGTAGCTAAATGACTTGCCCAACTATACACTCCTTTTTAAATAATTTGTTTTTATTAAAGGTTTCAGAAAGAAGAGTGGTGTAGGAGAGAGAGATAGAAATAACAATGATGAGAGAGAATCATCAATTGGTTGCCTCCCCCATACCCCCAACTGGGGACTGAGCCCACAACCTGGGCAAGTGCCCCTATGGGAATTGAACCGTGACCTGCTGGTACATAGGTTGATGCTCAAACACTGAGCAAAACCAGGACTCTTAATGAGTAGAGGAGCCAGTCTTCTCTTCCATGTCTGTTTGACTTTTAGGTAAATGCTCCATGCCCTGTACCATGCTGACCTTCTCTCCAAAAGAGTGAATATATTCACTGGCAGGGCTCTCCTGGTCAGGTGTTACAGTCTCAATAGAAAGACACGTATGGATTATCTATGTTTCATATTTAACACCAGGACAGGGAGCATGGAGCAGAAGGGCATTGACTGGGTCTTTTCTCTTTCCACACCATCATCTGCAACGGGCTTTATAAGATTTAAAGGAAAGGTTTCCCAGAACGCTTTGGGATTCCCCTGCCCACCCATATTTATATATTTTTAAAATGAAGAATTACATGTATATATTTGGTAGGCATTTTTCAGTCAGCCAAAGCTCTTCATGACCTCTGGGCTGGCTGCCTCTCCCATGTACAGCCTATGTGTGGCCTCCTGACCACCCATCATTCCCCAATTCTATGCCATGAGGTAGAGTTGGCTCCACCTCCCTAACACAGCAGCAATGTACCTATGTGTGTAGTTGGGTCACAGAAATCTGAGACTTCCTCCAGCCTGGCCAGGTAGCTTTTGAGTCTTTTCCCTCACCATCAGTGCATGCATACTTTAGACAAGGAAGTCATGTAAAAACCTGTATTGGGAAAGACTTTTTAAAGTGCTCTTTTTTATGTGATTATTCATTTACCTTCTTGCAATGCCAAGCTCCAGAGCACAGTCAAGGCGTAGCACATGCATAAGGTCTGCTTACTTGGGCTGTTCCTCTTGCACTGGTTTTTGCTCTTCTGGAAGTTGTGAACAGATGGTTGTAGGAAGGTATCCCTGGAGGCAATGCCTTTCAAAGTTTGGTTCCTTTTAAAAAAAATATTCTAATTTATTTTAGAGAGGAAGTGAAAGGGACAGAGAGAAGGAAACATCAACAATGAGAGAGAATCATCCATCTATTGGCTGCTTCCAGCATACCCTCCCACTGGACAGCCAGCCCATAACCTGGGCATGTGTCCTGACCAGGAATCTAACCGTGTCCTCCTGGTTCCTAGGTCGATGCTCAACCCCTGAGCGTTGCTGATCAGGACAAAGTTTGTTTCTTAATTCCAAATGAACCCTTGACTTTGAGAAAAAAATCACAGGTCCTACAAAGGGCCTTTTGACCGAATGAACCAAAAGCCTTATTCTCTTGGAAGTCATATCCACTTCTTGCAAAGTGATTGAGAAAACAAAAAATGATACCCATAGAACCAATAAACCAACAACAACCAGTCTACTCTTGCACTTAACAGCTCTCCTAGCCGAGTTTAAACAGAAAGTTAGCTTATTTCCAGCTTCTTTCTCCAAATAATCATTTCACCAAATCTCAGTGTGTGACACATAGGTGCAGCACGAGCTGTTGCGACAGGCTGTGTGGAAACTGAATAGATCAGAATCGGAATGCTGACTATGGAGTTGGAAATGTACTATTTTATTTCACGAGGACTTTCTCACTGAAGTATACACTCTGGGGCCCAGTCCTTACAGGACCTGGGAGAAATTTGACACTTTCTATTTTAATCCAAGATTAATTAATAGAGCTGTGTTTGTAAGGATAAATGGTTTATTTTTAAACTTTTTATTATGGGAAAATGTAAACACATACAAAGCAGACAGAATAGTATAATGATATACCACATACCCATCTCTCAGCTTAAACCGCTGTTAATGTGTAATCATTCTTCTTTCATAATCCCATTCATTTCCCCTCATCTCATGCTATTTTGAAGAAAATTCCGGACATTATTTTATTACATACTAGAGGCCTGATGCACAAAATTCGTGCAAGAGTAGGCCTTCCTTCCCCTGGCTGTGGGCACCAGCTTCCCTCTGGCACTGGGGACCCGGGCTTCCACTGACTTACCCAAATCTCAGTGTGTGAGTCATAGATGCAGAACGAGCTGTTTGGACAGGCTGTGTGGAAATTGTGAGTAGATCAGAATGGGAATGTTGGCCATGGAGTTGGGAAATGTACTATTTTATTTCACAAGGACTTTCTCACTGAGGTATACATTCTGGGGCACAGTCCTTACAGGACCTGGGAGTAATTTGACACGTTCTATTTTAATCCAAGATTAATTAATAGAGCTTTGTAAGGATAAATAGTTTATTTTTAAACTTTTTATTATGGGAAAATGTAAACACATACAAAGCAGACAGAATAAGTATAATGATATACCACATACCCATCACCCAGCTTCACCCACTGTTAATGTGTAATCATTCTTCTTTTATAATCCCATTCATTTCCCCTCATCTCATGCTATTTTGAAGAAAATTCTGGACATTATTTTATGACATAATAGAGGCCTGATGCACAAAATTCGTGCAAGAGTAGGCCTTCCTTCCCCTGGGTGTGGGCACCAGCTTCCCTCTGGCCCGGGAACCCGGGCTTCCATCACAGCTCTGGCTTCATTTGGAAGGTCGTCCAGAGGGATATCCGATCTAATTAGCATATTATGCTTTTATTATTATAGATGACTTCTGTATGTATCCCTAAAAGATAAGAATTCCTTTTAATTGGGTGATTTATCATACCTTTTTACTGTTATAGTTTTATTTCCTCTTTATTAGCTAGATAATCTTTCACTGAGTAACATATTTTTTTGGTGGAATCTATCCCCCTTCCTCTCTCTCTTACTATATGTTTTGCATTTAGAAAGGTTTATATTTTTGTTTTAATAGTTATCTTACACTAACACCTTTAAGTATTACCTTTGCTCCCTTCTTTTTTTGTGGATGATTATCTATAAGTGAACTACTATGAGTAATAGTCATAATAAAATTAGCTAATTTCATCTTTTTTTTCCACCCCTTCCCAGCCCCCAACCCCAATAACATTGTTCTAGATTGTGTTGATTCAGGGTGAACACTTTATAAGTATATAAATGTCTAATCACGATGTTGTTCATCTGTAACTAGTATAATAATGTATGTCAACTGTAACTGAAAAAAAAAACAGGAAAAATTGTCTTGATTATTCTTGATTTTTAGGACTTTGATATAAGTTTTAGTATTAGTTTATGAATTTTCATTTAAAAATCCTTCTAAGACTTTTATTGGAATTACATTCAATTTCAATTTCAGGAAAACTCATATCTTCATGATCATGAATCTTCTAATCCATGAACACCATATATGACTCCATTTATTAAGATCTTTTCAATTTTTTTCTTAGTAATATTATGTAGTTTTCTGAATATAATTTGTTAGATTTATACTTAGGTAATTGATGGGGTTTTGGATGATACTGTGAAGGCATTGAAAATTTTATTCATCAAGTATAAGACTTAAAAGCTTTTAACTAGTCTTTCCTCTCCTCAGGCATCTGCGAGCACCAATGCAGAGCAGGCAAGGACTGAGGGCAAGGAGAACAGTGCATCAGGGAGGGCTGTGGTCACGTCTGCTCCCCCATGATTCAAATAGGTAAGTCTTTTTTAAATTTCAATTTGCTTATTTTTAATTTTACAATTACACTTTACTTTCAGTATTATTGTACATTGGGTTCAAGTGCACAGCATAGT